TCTAATAGTTTTTTATTGTTGTTTTGGGGATTTTTAGGGATTTATATATATATAATATCATGACATCTGTAAACAGTTAGAATTTAACTTCTTTTCCAGTTTGAATATATTTTATTTCATTTTCTAGCCAAATTGCTGAGGCTGGTTCTTCAAGTCCAGCCTCATACCTGTCTTTTCCCTGATCTTGGAAGGAAAGTTTTAAACTTTTCATCATTGAGTATGATGTTAATTATGTACTTTTCATGTGTGTTCTTTGTTGTGTTGTGATACATTACTTCTATATTTAATTTTTTGAAAGTTTCTATAATGAAGGAATGTTGAATTTTGTCAAATACTTTTTTCACATCCATTGAAGTGATCGTATGGACTTTGTCCTTCATTCTGTCAATATAGTATATGTTGATTCATCTTTTCATCCCAGAGCTAAATTTCCCTTGATCCTGGGGAGTGATCTTTTAATGTGCCACTGAATTTGGTTTGCCAGTGTTTTCTTGAGGATCTTTTCATCTGTGATTATCAAGGATATTGGCCTGATATTTTCTTTTCTTATAGTGTTTTTTTTATCTGGATTTGGTTATTAGGATAATTACAGTTTTGTCAAATGAGTTTAGAAGTATTGATTTCCTCTTTGAATCTTTAAAAGAGTTTGACAAGGATCGCTATTTGTTCTTCCTCCTAGGCCCCTTGATCTCCTCCTTCCCTTTGCTCTTCTGTGCTAAAATTTAACAATGCTAGGCCATGCTCTACCACTGAGTTACACCCCTAGCCCTTCTTCTTCAAAAGTTCAGTAGTATTCACTGAATTCATCTGGTTCTGGACTTTATGGGATATTTTTGAGTACTGATTCAATCTCCTTACTCATTGTTGATGTATTCAGATTTTCTATGTCTTCGTATTTCAGTCTGCAGAGGAAATTTATCCGTTTCTTCTGTGTTATCCATTTGTTGGTTTACAGTTGTTCATAGTAATCTCATATGATCTTTTGTATTTCTGTGATTTCAGTTGTAATTTCTCTTTTCTCACTTCTGCTTTAAATCGTCTTTTAGTTTTTATTAGTCTAGCTAAGGTTTGCCAAATTTATTTATCTTTTTACAAATGAGAACTCATTGGGCTGGGGATGTGGCTCAAGCGGTAACGCGCTTGCCTGGCATGCGCTGGGTGCTGGGTTCGATCCTCAGCACCACATAAAATAAAGATGTTGTGTCCACCGAAAACTGAAAAATAAATATTAAAAAAATTCTCTCTCTCTCTTCTCTCTCTCTCTCTCTAAAAAAAGGAGTTTAAAAAAAGAGAACTCATAGTTTTGTTAATTTTTCTATTGTCTTTTCTAGTCTCTACTTCATTTATTATTTTCTCTGATCTTTGTTATTTCCTTCTTTCCATAACTTTGAACTCAACATTGGTGGCATTTGTCTGTACATCATTGGTCTTTCCAACAGTCTTCTGACTAAGTGTGAATCACTCTTATTACCTAGTGCTTATTTTTCAAATTTGCTGACAAATATGCTCCACCATAACCCTGGCAAGTAGTTGCTAAAAGTATCCCAATAATTCTATTAGAGAAATTAATTTAGTCCAATGTGAGTAACTCCAAGTGAAACCATGTTAATTGCAACTGTTTACAAAATACCCATATGATAAAGTCAGAATTCTGGACATCTGTGTTAAGCTCTAATCAAAACAAACATTAAAATATATCGCTATTTATTTTTCTATATTTGTCAACAGAAACTTAACTTTAAGAGAGGTTCCAAATGTAATATTATAATCCTTTTACTTTGGAAAGTAAGAAATTGAGATTCAAAGATTCACCCACTTCCATTTCATTGACCAGGATTTACCAGGACTTTCATTCATAAAGGAATCCTCTAGGATGCCCCCACTACCCCTGTGGATTCCATATGAAGTAGGAGTCAGGGCTTTAGGTTCTAACTGCTTTTAAATACCCATGTACATTTAAGACTAAATTTTATCTGTAGCTCTGGCCAACGAACCTTAAACTGCATTTCCCAGAAAGGCTCCTTTGCTTTTGTCTCTCTTCAGCATTTCACAAACTGTAGCTGCTCTGAGTTCTGAGTGTAACTGCAGCTCAGCTTCTTGGGTCATTAAGCATCTGATAATGTTTTCTCAACCTCCTGCCCCTAGTGGCAATTTTTCCCCCCTTGAGCTCCTAGCCTGAGGCTTTTCAGACAACAATGATTTTTTATTTTTGTCTCTATTGACTTTTTGAAATACTGTGCTATAATAGTAATATCAAGTTTTAAAAAATTAATCATCAATTGAACAGCACAGATATGTACAATGAGGCAAAAGTTCATCCCTCCCCAAGAAAAGGAAGGAAATGTAGAGTGAAATTGACCAAATTATGCTTTGTACATACATGAATATGCCACAATGAATTCCACCTTTATGTATATAAAGCATCAATTAAAAAATAAATTAATAGAAGGAAGACCAGTAGAATAAAAGAAGAAAAAAAAAGGGTGGGGTGAGGTGGAGAGGGAAAGAGGAAATACTGGGGACTGAGTGGAGCAAATTATGTTTCATGCATGTATGATTATGTATAACTAAAATGCAATAATAAAAACATTAAAAAGGACATCCCTCCATCCACCCACAGAGACATGTAGCCCACATTATCCTCAAGTTTCAGTTAACAACTGAACTATTCTTATTCCAAAGTTATAAACATTTTACATAAGCCATATATAACCCACAATTGCATCAAGCACCCAACTTCGTGAAAACTATAAGTTGTTCACTCATCTAATATTTTTTAATATTTATTTTTATTTGTTTATTTTTATGTGGTGCTGAGGATTGAACCTAGGGCCTCATCTGCGCAAGGCAAGCGATCTACCACCGACCTACAGCCCCAGCTCCCATTCATCTAATATTTTTAAACTTGCAATCTATTGTTCTTTCTCCCAACATTCATTATTCTAGATCTACTCAACACTTCTGTACTTGATTTAGAAATACTGATATAGTAATTTTTACTGGTTTTACTGTGTTTTAAATGTAATTAAAGAGTTAAAACTGCATAGATAACTATAGATTGTACAAAGTTAGACTGAGGTGTCTTCAGTAACCATAGATCTGCTTACAGATGAATCAACTGAGGCAGAGAGACATTAAATGTCCCCTCTGAAATTACACAGCTTCAGCAGTGAAAGATTGGAATGAAAACACAGGCTTCCAGAATTTCAGTCATCTGGTCTTTCCACTTCATCAAATCATAATTCTCTCAGAATCCTCTAATCCCTTTACACCACCATCTCCCTCTAGGAAGCTCCATAGATGCCCTGGTTTTATTGGTCTAGAACCCACTGTACTTCAAATAACAGAAAAAAAGATGTCTTATTTTGCCAAATAATAAATTGATGTCACCTTATAAGTTTACTGTAATAATTTTTTCAGTGTGAAGGTTGTTATGTGTAAATGAAAAACAGTGTTATGAGAAAAAGCACAAACAGCTCAAACAACTATAACAACAAAATAAATTCTGTCTCAATTTTTTAAAGACTAACAACTAACACCATACATGTTTTCTAACTTTGCTTTAACTTACAGAATTTGAGCCAAGTAGAAAATATTTGAACTTTATATTTCCCTACTAAATTGTTTCCTATATATGGTGTTCTCAGATTACCTCAGCACTATTTAAATAAAACATTTATTAACCAATTCATTCAAATCTCAGAGCTGTTGAGTACTTACAGATAAGTTTCCATAAGCCAATAAATTTCAAGTGGAGTATTTTATTGCTGGGTAAAGTGACCAGGAAATAGAATAAAATCATAGCTCCATGTGTTGAGAAATAAAAAAAGAAAGCTCTTAAATTAAGAATAAACAACTTCAGAAAGATCTAGGTTAGTTTTTCAAGGAAAATCTCCTTTTAGTGGCCAAGAAGTTTTCTTTTTCTTTTTTATACTTCATCCCTCTTTCATCCATCCACCCATTCCACACACCTGTATCAATCACAGGGCTAGACCCTCAGGGTTTTCCTCTCTGAGCTTTGATTCTTGATGTATTGTCAAAGTAAAACTTTCTAAATTTGCACTCCCCACCCCTTTGCTCACCCATCCATTTCATTGTATACCTGTTCACTGGAAGCAAAGATACCTTAGGTTTTCATACACTAACTTTCTTCAATCCAGTTATAATGTGCTTCTAACATTTTTGTGGCTGGCCACATGTATGTCTCAAGTAGTACCTTCTTGGGGAAGCCTCTTACAACCACATAATCTGAAGTAGTCAGCCACCAGTTAACAAAACATCAACCTGTCTTATTTTCATTGTGCCCTTGTTTCTGATATTTTCTTATGTGCTTCTTTAATATCTCTATCTCCCCCCCCCCCCAAATCTCTATGAGCACAGACAGGTGTCTTCATTGTTTCTGAATCCTAGAACAGTGCTGGGCATACAGTTGGTTTTCATTAAATATTAGTGAATAAATGAATGGATTCTGAATTGATTGACCCTGTTTTTCACTACTATGGACACTGATTCATTCATAATGAGAACTTCTCACATATATGCAGATTATGGGAATTTTAAGTGATGACTTAAAACGGTTTTGAAATATGAGAAACAGCTGTCCTAGAAGAATTCCATCATTCACAGTGATGGAAGGATTCTTCTCCCAAGGATGTAAGAAAATGCTTTTCCTATTTTTGTTGGTTTGCTCAGAAACTGGGAACATCTGGCATTGAGAATATAGGGTTGTTCATTTTAGAGTAGAGTCTTAGTAACTTCGGGGATTGGGAGTAGGAGCGAAAATGCCCTAAGAAAATGAAGGCAATATGGAGGAAGGGGAGACTCCATGCCCCTTTTATAAAACTGGTCCTTTTTTTCTAAATCGAGTATTACTTAGGGGAAGCTTCCTAGAAAGTCCTTAGTCGGTGTTGTTACTAAATAAGCAGACTCTGGCAGCAGTACCCCCTCCCCCAGAGCACTTGTCTGGCTCCGCCTAGTTTAGGTTTATTCAGACCCTGGAAGTTGTGGTTGCAGGACCGGCTTTGACTGCTTTCTAGAACGTCCTTCTGATCCCTTTAAAGGTGGGGATCATGACGGAGGATGCGGGGGAAGAAGGCGGGAGCCGAGGGCTGGAGACTCGCGGTTGACATAGTAACTTCAGCTTGGTTTCTCTTGCTCTCAGTTCTCAGGCTCCGTAGCCACCCTCGGCCCCTCCTGTGCACTCTGTCCTGGAGCCCTGCCCGCCTCCCAGTGAGGTCCGCTCAGCCAGAAGAGCTCAGTTCAAGGTCCCCTTTGCGCCCCCCTCACCAGTGACTTCTCCGCGCGGAGCCCAGACTGCTAGGCGTTTGCATCCTCTGTCTCATCCTTGTCCCTTAGGCATCGGTTTGTCCCGGACCAGTTCGGCAGTTAAAGGGGCCTCAAGGTACCAGGTTCCTGTTGGAACTGCGGACCCCTCCTTCAGGAACAGGGCCCAGGCCAGTGGAGCATTCTTGCCATGAACCAGAACCCTGCCTTCGTGCCCCGGCGGGGCGGCTCTCCTTCGGCGGCTGCCGGAGCCGGCGCGCGGCGCAACGAAAGCCAGGACTATCTGCTCATGGACTCGGAACTGGGAGAAGATGACTGCCTGCAGCTCCCGCTGCCTCCCTACGGCTACTACCCCTGCTTGTAAGTGCGGGTGGCCAGGCGGGGCGGGCTCAGGGTGCACCGCCGGAGGCTGTACGCTCAAAGGGGTGTAAGAGCCAGGTCCGCGCGCGCGCTTGAACTCGCGTGTGTGCCTCTAAGGATTGGTGACTGTAGCTCCGCGCGAGCCAGGTCTGGGACCTCAGAGAGTAGAGTGGTAAAGGCGGCTCTGGGTTTGGTCTTGGTGAGCACGTAGGGGTCTGTTTGCCCAGAAGATGATACCGCAGAGTGCCAACCGCATTACAGGTGATCAGGTAGCTGGTCAAATTTCTTCATCGTGGGTAACTTTGCGCCCCCAACAGATTCAGTATTGCTGCGCAACAGGCATGATTGAATAGGGGGCTGATTCAACTGTGCGGGGGCGGGGGGGGGGCTGTGACAGTCTATGTGGGAGAAGTGACTAGACTTTAAGGGTCCTTGGAGCCGCCTTGATGTGTGCAGGGGAACTCCAGAACCCCAGCGCGGGCGCTCTCCCAAGTTGTGCGTCTCAGCCCTTCTGCCAGTGCACACATCTTTGGGGCAATCAGCCAGCCAGAAAGTTCGGAAGTGTGAGTGTAAAGGGTAGACCTGCCTTTTAGCTCCCAGACATCCTCCTGTCCATTCTGGGCGTTGGGGTTAAGCCAGGGAAATAGAACCAATCGGGTTTTTGCATTGGCGGTGCGAAGCTTTTACCGAGGGCGTCAGAGGAGATGAGTCTGTTAAGAGTGCGGATCCAGAGACCCCCGAAATGTAGGAGGGAGGGCGTTCGGGTCCTTTATAGTGGCCTCTGAGTAACTACAAACCTTTAAGTATCTGAACTTTGGGGAGGGAGGGGTTGTGGGCGGGCAGAGGGTGGAATGGAGGACAAGAAAAGTCCTCACTTTCCCACAGGCTATTTGACTGACCACGAGTGCAGCTGGCAGACAGCATTTCTGCCTCTTTGCCCCTTTGATGTATTGGTTAGGTCAATTTCCTGACCTGTCACATCCATCCGCAAGCTGTTTCCCGAGAAAAGCGGTTCTCATATATTTGAATCAAATGGGGTATAATTTCTCCTTTTTCCAAGTGTACAGGTTGCAGAATCACATTGGTTATACAGACACGTATATACATACAGCAATACTAGTGTCTATTTTATTCTGCTGCCCTTCTTATCCCAAGATCATTGTATTGTCATGAACAACTAATAAAAATAAATAAATAAATGAATAAATGAAAAAAAGAGAATACATATTCAAAGTATATAGAGAACTTTAAAGAATCATTATCTTTTTCACTTTATATTCAATCTCCCTTTTTCTCAGAATTTAAACTTAGTTAATATTTTAATATCTATTCCTCCAAATAAATAAACAGTATTCATACACACACAAAAAAAAAAAAAAAGAAAAAGAAAAAAGAAAGAAAAGCGGTTCTCACCTCTGTAAACAGCTTTAGGTTGGAGGGACCTTTCAGCCAGATGGTCTGGCAGACCCTCGGGGTGGATGGGCATACCTTTCAGCGCTGGTCAGTGCTGCCAGAGTCAAAGCCAGCTGTGAGTCCCTTGTGCAGTACGAACTGAACCCCAGGAGACGGGACCTCTAATTTTTCTCCAAGATGAAAGAAAATAGTTGGAACTGGTTCCATTCGTCCATGTGCTGTACAGTTGTAAGCGTTTACAACAATTTATCCTTTTTTCCTTTTTAAAAAGATAAAAGTCACATAGCGAAGAATTCACCCATTTTAAATTGTACAGTTCGGTTTTGTTTAATTCATCCCATTAAGTTTGGGAATCATCACCAATATCTAATTCCAGGACATTTTCATCATCCCCAAAACAAAATTTATACTTGGTGTTAAATTAGAAAATATTTCTAAACCTCATCATATAGAATTTTTGAACCTTAATAGACATAAGAATTACCTGGAGATTTTGTTTAAATGCAGATGCTGAATCTCTGCATCAGAAATTGTGCCTTTCTAACAATTGTTCAGGTGACATCAGGCTGATATCCATGGACTACATTCTAAACGGCAAGAAGATACATACCAAGAAAAAAATAGAAAAACAAATCTTGTATATTAGGAATGCAGCTCTTCTTGCTTTGAAAATATATATCTAAAACATAGATGGACTTTTAAAATTGGGTTTAAATTGAGTTCTACTAAGCCTCAGTGTTGTATGCTTGATAACATTACTTGTTGAGTTAACTCAGTGACTTAACACTGTTGGTCGGTCCTTCCTTCCTTCCTTCCTTCCTTCCTGTCTTTTCTTCTTTCATAAAAAAGTAGATTATCTCATGAAAGAACCTTTTCTTTTTTATTTTATAATCTCTATTGTCACTTGTTTCTGTGTCTGTGGGAAAGAATGGTTTGATTTTAAAAACTTATGGTTGTAACTCATCGGTAAGAATAAATAATTCATCCCAAGTTGTACTGAAAACTTTCCCCAGTGATTTCTTCAAATGTGGCTTACTGCTTAATTGAATTATATATATATATATAATTGTCTACAATTTCTCTCCTTTAGTTCAGGAATCCCACACTATCCTTAAAAGTATAGAACTGATAGAGGGATGAATGGAAATATTTTAAAGTGCTTCAATTCAACTCATGGTACTCTCTGTGTCATGTTTAATGTACTATAATACATTTAAGTGTGAACCATGTTCCAGAATTAGAACTTGGTGTTATCTGAATCGATTATTGCCCAAAGTTTCTATAGATACCTTTCATCAACTGTTTTCTTTGATCAGGATTTTATTTTATTTTTCAGGTGAATAATCAAGTAACTAAAAACTTTTAACCAATAGACTACAATGTATGATATATGAGAAAAAGTTAAAGAAAATTCCTTTCTTCTGGTAAAAAAAAGTATAAATAAACTCTCCCATATGTATTTAGCTTGTGATTTAAGCAATTGTGCATATTATTTGTAATAGTGGCAATCACCAGTTACTTTAGATACAGTATGACTGTTTTCTCAAGTCATGGAGATTTTCCCTTAGAAGATTCAAATCGTTGTAAACTGTCATTTCTATGGCATAAATACTGTGACTCTTGTTAAAATATTGTTTCACAGTTCACTTCTATAGGAAGATTTTAACATTTTTGGAATTTTTGTACTGAAAATTGTAGTAAATTGTCTTGTTTGAGAGTAATTACATATTCTCAGGTCTGAATAGGATAAAATAACATTTTGAAATGATGCTTAGAAGAAGAATTTCTCATGTTCTTTTATTCCAACTTTCAGTTGCAAATATACTCTATTATAATCAATTTTTAAATGATGATTAGCAGGAAAAGTTCAAGTCCTGCTAAAGTCCCAGGAGGTATATCAAAGTTCCTTTATTTAAAATTTAAAAAATATAACTCTAGACTATTACTCTTGAACATGATAAAAAATCTCAGACATATCCACTGAGGACTTCTAAAAGAAGAAGAAATGAAACAGTCCGACTGAACTTTTACTTGGGAAGAACTAATTGATTAATTTTGAAAAATTAAGCAGTAAATTAAAGCTCTGGCAATATAGTAGACTAAGATAACTAAAAAAAAACCTTGTGATTATAAACACCAAGAAATAGTGGTGTTTCTGGATAAAATATTTTAAATGATTTAAAAACTTTGCTTAATTTTCAAAAACTAAAGGGAGTACCATGTGCAAGAGCAAAATAGTTAAAATCCAGAGGGTAGATTGTGAAGGGATGCTGTGGCCAGTCTGGGAAGTAAGAGGCCTCAGTGACTAAGGCACTTGGAGTCTTATATCCATATGAGACAAAAAGAAGGTAAGGCCTTGTTTACAAATGGAGCAGAGAGCTGGAACTGAGACATTGCTTGCATAAAACTAGGACCATATTCTATTGAAGAGTTAGGCTAGAAAATTATGCCCACCAGCACAGAGGGAGATCAAGAAACTACTAGTAAGAAGAAAAAAAAAATCTTCCCTGGAGAATTTTGTTTTAGGGTTTATATGCACATGCCATGTGAAATTTTAATTTTTTTTTAACTAGACCTAGAAAATCTCAAACTAAAAACTACCCTTGGGACTCCTAGAAGAGTAAAACACAAAGCATGATGAAAGAAACATCCCAACCACGTAGACGGCTTAGAATTTTCATGAATAAAACAAGCCCTGCTAAAAATATATTCACTGTAATCAATGACAAAATGCAAGGAAACAATCCACAAAGTCAGTGGACAATACAATCCATGTGTGTGTCAACGTAAAGTATAACATCGATGTTGGATCCTTAGCGACTTAAGATAATGTAACAACATGAAAGGGAATATAAAATAAATATGTATAAAAGTGCTGACAATATAAAAAATATAAAACCCTAAGAAAAAGAGTTGCCTTAAAAAATAGACAAAGAGAACATTTATAAATGAAAAATATAATTTTTAAAGTAGGGAAAAAACTCAATGGAAGGATTAAAATGCAGATTAGACATAGCATAACTGATGATAATGTGAAAAATGCAGAGACATAGAGAAATAGAAGATATAAATATTGTTAAGAGTTATGAAATTGGAAGGTAGGGTTTCCAAAAGAAGAATGGGGGAAATGTATCATTTGAATAGATAATGGGTGATTTTCTAGAAATGATAAATTCTCATGTTCATAAAGTACAATAATATTAGTGTGTACATAAAAAGAAACCATTTAAACATATCTTTTAAATTTCAGAACATCCAACAAAGATGAAAGGAAATATTAAAAATTAACCAAAACACAGGGACTTGGAAATATTTAAAATGGAAATACATTCATATGTATTTTGATATACAGATTATATCATGCGTAGCTTTCAAGAACTATGGTTTTTCTTTTGCATAAAAAGCATTCTTTATTGATGTAGAATTGTATGCAAAATCAGTGTTCCAGGTTGATAGGGTTGCTTTAAATGTGGATGTGGACAAACGACTTTACAGGGTCATATCACTGAATCACAGTCCTAGGAGAAACCCAGAACCTTAATTCAATTCCCCATTTCACATAATGAAAACAAACAATTTTTTTTAAA